CTCCAATAGGGCCAACAATGTTATAGCGATCAGCCCAGATAGGTCTCGAGAAGTAATAGGGATCACCTTCGGATACAGCCCAAAAGGTTATAGAGTAGTGTTACAATCGGTCACGGTAAACGGTCGACCTGGTCTAGGATTCCTTACCAATTAGTAACGGACTGGTTTAGAAGTTTTTTAATTTTTTTTCGCGTATTCTTTTTCTCTTTTTCTTGCCAAAATTGAGTACAGAAGTGTTTATTTTTGAATATCAAACTAGCCTTACTGGTATTCATGACAATTTCTATGGAAACAACATGGATTAGACTGTTTATTTTTAGTCAATATTCATCGAAATACACTTCATATATTTTTTATCAAGTCATTTCGTTTCTAAGTTCTATGATCGAAACAAAATGGAGCAGTGCTTCTTCATTAGAATTTATTAGTATTTCTCTCTAATTTGCATTATTTATATTAGATCCTTCCGTTATAGCTCTGGTGAAAAGCTTCATAAGTTTTCACTCTGCTATCAGTGTGTGATAAGAGCATGCTAATTTGAATCTATTTTATTTAAGCTTATTAAAGGTGTTTCACAGGTTCTGCTCCTCGACAAAATTCAGTTTATATGTAAACAAATAGTGGTCCCTACCCAACTATCCGCCTACTCAAAATAAACCACATATTGTATTTTTTCAATTACTTCTCTCTACTATTGCGATTCGGTCCGACTTTTATACTACAGATGCATGCTCAATTACTCGATTTATCCTGAAAATTTCAGCTCTATACGATGACAATTTGTGGGAAAAACTATCAATATGTCTCAGGCACTCATACCCAGGTCAACGATTCCGGCCTCCGGATCCTTCAAGAACCGGCCGGAAACGATGTAATTTCCGACTTTTTCCCACCGTTTCCCACCGGGAAAAACATGAAAACTTGTTCGAAACCTCTTTGAAAGATCTTTGAAATACTATGAAAGATCTTTCAAACACTTTGATCGATACTTTTTCCATGCACCTCAGGTTGATGCCGTCTTGCGCACGTAAGTCGCAACAATCAAAACACATCACTTTCGCCGCGATTGCGCACGACGATTCTGTTAGCTCTGTAATGGGGGATGATCTTACTGAGCTTAACTTCTCTGTATATATATATGATATAGCCTACATATATAAATCGATATGAAGCTGTTGGATAATATATAAATATAAATTTATATATATTTGACCAAAACAAGAAAATATAATAATGTCAAAGATGATGACAATCAACAGAAAAAAGGTGATGATGAGAAAAACAAAGAACATACATATATATATAAATATATACATGTGCGTAATATCAACTAACTCAATCACGTGAGCGGTGTTTTCCAATCGATTGCGTAACAGAACAACAATAAATAGAGCGGAACACTGTAGTTGATAACTAACAACATCTACAGGCGCTCACACCTCCCCTTCCCGGAAGGTACCAATCATAAGCTTGACATGCCCTACAGGGCAGTCAAAGTAAGAAAAGAATGATTCATAAAGGGAGAGATGCGAAATAACACGATAGAAATTAACAAGAAAACGAAAACATAAACGTTGAGAAAAAACAACAGTATGAAAAAAGGAACAAATGGAAAAAAATTCTATTAATTGTGGTGAATCCAGTAATAGAAATTATCATAATTAAACGTGTTATTAGTTAACACTTGATCAGCATGTACCATTTGTGATAGATTATTGAAATGTAAATGTAATTTATGATGTGATAGAATCAATAGTCTACCAAATCGAACATTACTGTGTTTCAAAAAATCCTTTATATGTTTATATGACCATGCTGAAGAAATTTCCCGAATCAAAGTAAAGTCTCTTTGAACTTGTTTGATTTTGAAATTTCTTTTTCTATTACGAAAAGAAATAGATTCACGTGAACGAGTTGAAACATTAGCAGAGACATTTTGATTTAGATTCATGTTATTGATATAATTCAAAATAATGTTAGCAAACTGATGACGATAGATATAATCAATATGAAGTCGATCAGAACCTAACCATTCGAATGATAAATGTAAATCCAAAACATAAAATTTATGTTTGGTTGAGAGTGAAAGTAATAGGTGGTTGTAATGATCAATGTTGTCGTTTAACCATGAAATATTCGAATATCGAATAGATGGTTTTAAACAAGGAAGGCAAGTTGTTATTATGATGTTTCCTTGTGTTAGATGACAATAATGAGAAAAAAGAAATATAAGGAATTGATCAATTTGTTGAATGACATCTGTTGCCGGTAAATGTCGAACAGAATTTGTTCCGACGAGAAAGAGAATGTTAGATGTTGTAGAAAGTAAAGAAGCAAATGTGTCTGTATGTATTAAAGAAAACAAACTTAAGTTGTGATCGTATTTGTTAGACCATTGTAAACCCGAAATAGAATATGTTTTAATACAATTATGAGGTGTAATAATAGTGGGTTCCAGACATTTGCCGTGACTATCGGCTATTATTAAAAATGATGAAGTGATAGTTGATGAAGATGTCATAATCAAGATATAAGAATAGAATGGATTGAACTATGTAATGGATGTTAAATGATGTGTAGGATGGTACGTATAGTTGAGATAGAAAAATGAAAAGAAAAAAAAGAAGTATATAGAAATGTAAATAAGAAAACGTTTAAATAAAGCTATAAGATGATGTATAAAGGTTTGATATCAATGAAAATTGAAGTTTTATAATACCATGATCATCCGATATTATTATACAGATTTTTAATTTATTCAATTATATTCTCCTACGGCGCCATAGTAACAACATAATTCCCATAACAGAAAGCTAATGTTATTCAAAGGACTTTTCACTTCGGTCGTAAGAATAAACATAAGTATCTATTATATCCGTAACTAGAAACTATTAGTATAATAATAAACAATAAAATCATGATAGAATAGAAATGATAGGTGTTATTCCTATAAAGTAATAGACGACGAAACTGTTATCAAAAGAACATTATGTTAGAATAAAAGATGTAAAATATTATTCAAAACTAATCTGTCGTATATCGCTTATATGTACTTGTGATCTTATGTGCGTACACTCATCTTCGACTACATACATTGGGTGATGAATTTCAACAACGATTTTTGGAATAGGAGAGAATTTCGGATCTAATTTTCCTTTCGAAACATACACACGTGTGAAAACTTTATCTCCTAATTTCAATTGTGGATCAAGACGATTCTTATTGTAATACGCCTGATTAGCTTGTTGTTGACATAATATATTGTCACGCGAAGCCTGATGAAATATACGTAACGTCTTCTTTAGTTGTTCAAAATAATCATTAGGCTTGAGAAATGTAAATTCTTTAGGTTGTATATGAATAGGTAGACGAGCAGTACGACCGTATAATAACTCATAGGGAGAAAATTTCGTGGACTTATGTACTCCTGTATTATAAGCAAAGACAACGGCTTGCAAGTACTCATCCCAATTGTTATGTTGAGCATTTTGTAACTTCGAAATCTGAGCTACAAAAGTAGCGTTAAAACGCTCTGCGACACCATTTGTTTGGGGATGGTAGGGAGTACTATAAATATGATTGTATCCTATGAGATTTTGTAGATTCTCCATTAACTTATTTTGAAAATGTGTTCCACGATCGCTTAAGATAACTGAAGGTATACCAAACTTGCAAAAAAAATCATCAAATAAGGCGCGCGCTGCAGTTTCTGCTGTGCAATTAGGAAGTGCTAATCCTGTTATATGTCTCGTAAAATAATCTGTGATAATAAGCACATATTGATTCTCACGAGGAGTCCTAGGCAATGGTCCACAAAAATCAATGCCTATTAAAGTGAATGGTCCTTCAGGCGGTGGAATAGAACATAAGTGACCGTATCGTTTAGCACGATCTATATTAAATTGCGTGCATAAACTACAAGACTTTACGTAACGTTGTATGGTGGCTTTCATTCCGGGCCACCAAAAATGAGGACGAATTTTATAATACATGCGATCTGTAGAAAAGTGAGCGCCTGTTAACGGATCATCGTGACATGCTTTTAATAGAGAATTTATCATAGATGATGGTAAATATAACGCTTTAATGATTCGATTAGAACTATTCTGACAACTAATTAATTTGTACAGTTTATTATCTTCTAAGATAAATGAACTTGGATTCGATGTAGTAGATAAATTTTTTATTAGGTTCTGTATCTTAGTATCTCGATCTTGTTCAACTTGTAACTGAGTTATATCGAAATAGTTTTGTGAAATTTTTGATGCGACTTTAGATTTCCTTTTATGTCTAGAATCCGATGTATCTATATAGTCATGATGATTATTCACGTCATTTCCATCAGAAATATGTTCTTTTGTATAATCAACTCGATGTTTACGTGGTCTTAGAGTCATGACTGCTAAAACATTCGGATTAGTAGAAGAAACTGGTGAATCTGATGTTAAATTCTTAGTACCATTATTTAATGTTGCTGATGATAAGATCGAATGAGATTTACTAGCTAAGCCGTATTCAATATCGAATATATCATCAAAGGGTTCTTTTGAGTAACGTGAGAGATAATCAGGTAGACAATTGTACTGACCGCGAATATGAACGACTTTATCGATATTATATTCTTGAATCAAGTGCGTGATTCGATTCACCCTCTTATTATTAATAGACTTTTGCATTATATAACATAAGGGGCAATGATCAGTCATAATGATAATATTTCTCCCTAATACAAAAGAACGCATACGATCTAAACACTTATAGATAGCTAGGGCTTCTTTCTCGATGGTACTATATTTTCTTTGACATGGAGTAATAACTTGAGAATGATAGTATAGATTACGAAGTTGCCCATTGACTTCTTGCTGTAAAACGCCACCTATTCCGATATCACTAGCATCTGTAGTTAATACTACAGGTAAATTATCTACAGGAAAATGTAGAAATAAAGGTTCGGTGGTAAGCATCTCTTTAAGTTGGTGGAAGGCTTTTGATTGAGCAGCTTGCCACTTAAACTTTCGTCGGTTAGGCCTCGTAAGATTAGTAACAGCATGTATTGGTGCTGCTACTTCCGCAAACTTTGGTAGAAATTTTCTATACCATCCTAAAGATCCTAGAAAGCGATTCGCTTGAGGTAAAGTACGCGGTTCTTTTATTCGTAAAATAGCTTCTATCTTCTCATTCATGGGTTTGATAGAATTTTTATTGATAGTATGACCTAAGTAATTAATTTGTGGAACGGCTAATTCACATTTAGGTGGATTTAAGATTAGATTTTTCTGTTGCAAAGCTGAAAGGACGGATTGAAGATGGTCCAAATGATCAGAAAAAGATTTGGAAAAGACAATAATATCGTCTAAGTAGACGAGAGAAAACTGACGACACGATTTCAGAGTCTCCGTCATAACTTTTTGAAAAGTAGGAGGAGAGTTTCGTAATCCCATCGGTAGAACATTAAACTGATATAAGCCGAATGGGGTTATAAAAGCTGTTTTCTCTTTATCATTTTCATTAATCGGTATTTGGTAAAAACCGGATTTCAGATCGAGTTTGGAGAAATAACTAAATCCTTTTCCCAATTTAAAGATTGTATCTTCCATATTGGGAAGAGGAGAAGAATCTTTGATAGTTATAGCATTTAATAGCCTATAATCTACTACAAATCGAAATGAATTATCTTTTTTCTTGACAAGTATCGCTGGCGCTGCGTATAGCGAATTTGATTCTGAAATAAGACCAGCTTTCAAGAATTCTTGAATAAATTCGTAGATCACTTCCTCTCGATCCGGTTGAGTATATGCTCTACTAGCAGGAGGCGAATGAGGAATAGTATTAATAACATGTGGTATAGGAGTACGAGCTATATTATGTTTGGTTATGTCAAAAATATTAGAGAAGCGCTTTAGTAACAAAAGAAGATCTTGTTTGTGTTGATCATTCTGAATATTTTCAACAAGAGAGTTTAGATGTTGTGTTACAATAGGATTACGTCATTTCTTCGAGGGTAACACAGTTTCTGTTTCAAAAGAACTGGTTCGATTAGTATACGTACTATTATTGTTACTTAATTGAGATGAACGATTACTAGAATCACTATGTATTGTCAAGTCACTAGATGCTGGAGTCATACCAGTACGTCTGGTAGCTCCAAGTAAACGATGGTGCGATGAATAAAAGGTACGAGGATGTTGAAACATAGAACAACACAACAAATACCCTAGACATGTACCTTTTCGTATGACTTTTGGAAATCTCTTTGTTTTATATAATACAAGGTCACTACGATAACTTTGAAAGTTAAGATTTTTATTCTTATTGTCAACAAGTACGTGAGTCTTAAATGAAGAAGCTGGAATAAATGGTAAAGAAATAGATGAAATAGGAATGGCAACTGGAATTTTTCGTGTTGAATTAGAAGAAAGTAATACTATGGTAGAAGAAATAACCGGTATTCTAATAGATTTTGTTACATTAACGATCGAAACTACAATATGATTATTGTGTAACTGAATAGTAACAATCTGTTTCTGAACATTTATATTCATATTATATTTATTAATGTAATCCATGCCTATTATCATATCAGTACATAAATGTTGAGCTATGTAAGCTTTTATCGGAGTAACAAAATTATCAAATTCAACCGATAAATCTACTAATCCAAGAACATTAAATGATGCAATACCGTCAGCTAATGAAAAAGGAAATGATTGCTTTAGTATAGAATTCATTGGTACTAAATGATGTAGAATTTGACTATTGATGAAGGTTTTGGTGGCTCCGGTGTCTATTAAAATTTTAATTTTATGTTTATTTACTAAAGCGTATATGAAGATCAAAGGAGACTTTGATGGATTTAAAAGTATATTCCCGGAGTCAACACCATCGTACGATGACTCCTGTACTGAAAATTTGGGCATGAAGAAGCGTCATGTCCCATATAATTACAGAGATGACAAACTACTGTTGAAAGAGAGTCAAGATTATCATCATTATTAGGCAGTAAGGTCGATGTAAAAACTGCATTAACTGAGCGAGAAGTCACTTTATTATCATGTTTAGAAAAACTTTTATGTTGTTGTATATTTTTCTGCTTACGACTAGCTGTATTATCATTGTACTTATTCGTGGATAAAGAATGACGTGGCGACTGATAATAATAATTCGAGTTAGAAGCCTGCGCTCGATCCTGTTTAGATACATAATTTCGATCAGACGTATAGTTAGATGATCCCTGATTAGCACGAAAACTAGTTTGTGGTGTTGAACGATAATTACTGTTAGTACTATTGGAATACTGTACAGAAGTGGTACTCGAAGTATTGTCATTCTTAGAAAAATTTATTGGTTTAGAAGCAGAACTAATAGTTGTATCTGTACTGATGTTAGATAATTGTAATAGTTCTTCTATTTCTTTTGCATGCTCAACAAATTCAGCGGTTGTTTTTGGCTTTTTCTTGCGTACCTCTAGTTGCATGCTAGGCTTGACTTTGTTTAACAAATTTTTCAATTTAGTCGATTCGCTCATGTTAGGATCAGCCTTCTTACATAACTTTAGAACTTCATTAAAAAAATTACGGACAGATTGTTTCTCCCCTTGAGTATATGACTCAAGGGTTTTAAACGCTAGCTCTTCCGAAAAGGACGAAGTAAAAGCTTTTTTAATTTCTTGAACAAATTTATCCCAACTAGTTAGTACTGATTTGTTATTTCGAAACCACTGACTGGCATCTCCTCTTAAAGAATAAGAAATGAGATCGAGCTGATTCGTATCAGGAACATGTGCAATGTGCATCAAATGATCAATATCCTCTAACCATTTTGTCACGTCGTCCTTATTACCACGAAAAATCTTTGGATTTCGTATAAAATCTGTTACGATGGCTTTGCGTAAATCTGTTATTACTGGATCTGATGGTAAACGATTAATTGTTGAAGTGTTTCCAGATAACTTAGAATCTGACACATCACCACTCGTTGTGGTGGTATCATCAGTAGCAAGCTTACTATAAGAAGAAACAGATGACTGTAACAACTGGGTAGCACCTGTTGTATTCGCGACATTTAATTGTGAATCTGTANAAATTCTTTTTAGCCAAAAATATTTGGTTGAACTTTTTTCTTACCCCCTTTCGACGCTTTTGAGCACCATATATATACAGTTGTTCAGTACAACGAAGGCTTTCATTTGATATTAAAATAATTTGTATAACATACAAGAGAATGAACAAAAGACAATTTGATTAAAAAAAATTAATTGTTCGAATTTAGTTTTGCATCTGGAAAACAAGTTCTTGTCTGAATATCTCACAGAGAAGTTGTGTCCAATTCCAAATAATACCGTTTGGTATAGAACTCAATAAGCTTTCTTTTTCATATAAAATGTATAGCTTCTGGCAACCTCTCTTGCGAAATAGAGTTTATTTTTTCGACTGCTATCAATAGTGATGAAAAATCGGTGACTCAGACGATATGATAAAGGCCTTCATTTCTACCATTATAAAACATGTAGAAAATTTCTTTTTTTGTAAAGCAGTAGTGCTCTATCCTTACAGTATAAAATCTGCATTAGACGAATAAAAAGAGAATCTGTCTAATTATAGGAAATTTTTTCTCAGTTCAAAAAAGTTGCAGAAGAGTTTTCTGACGCCTTCTGTTCTAAGATTGTTGTGATCTTAAAAAAAGCATATTCAATCAAATTCTTTTATATATTTTTGTACTAGACACTTTCCTCTTTCTAACAAAAAAAAATGAAATCTCTACGACATTGCGTTCCAGAGCTATATCAAAAACAAAATTAATGCAAAACTTTTGCCCCACCCGTTAATATTAGTGAAATAAGTGACTTTTTAGATGCAAATATAAAATTTAATTTGGCAGTAACAAAAGATATGCAATTGGCATAATATAAAGAAAGACTACTGGAAATGACAGTTTCGATAGTCTTTCTTTATATTATATCAATTGCATATCTTCTGTTACTGTTAAATTAAATTTTATATTTACATCTTAGAAGTCGTTCGTTTCATTAATTTTGCATGACATTTTCCTCGAATGTTGATGATAGGTTTGTTGTTGAAAGGTTTTATAAAAATAGCTTTTGATTTTCCTGATTAATTACATGGTTCACCTAATCTTTCTAGTATTAGTATAGATAAGATGTTAAAAATTGAACTAAGTAGATGACAGGCTGTATTTTCTCATGAATTTTGATATATATGAATGAGTAAGATATGTTGAAGACAAGTCATGACAACCGAGATTTTGTGTCGTAGAAAAAAAATATACTGCCTTTTATCAACACTCATCTGTAAATCATTTTCTCTATCGCTCATGTCCTCGTTAGCTATCATTCAACAAAATGTTGCTCGGTATGGCCTATCAACATTATTAGTTCTTGGTAACGTTGGTAATATCTTCACTATCTTCATCTTATCACGTTCAGTAAAACAAAAGGTCAATTCATGTTCCCTGTATTTACTTTCTGCTTCGATTTCAAATTGGATTGTAATTAATACAGCATTAATATCGAATATAATTGGTGTCGATCACATTGATCCACAACATACATCAAATATTATCTGTAAAATTCGTTGGTCTGGTACTCATGCACTATTGATGTTGTCACGAAGTTTTAGTGAGTATGATCATTATGATCTGTTGTGAAGAAATTGATCTGTTGGTATTCTTCTAGTGATTGCGGCCTGTATTGATCGGTGGGCTTTATGTTCGAGAAATGCCACTATTCGATCGTTTTCTCGACCACATCAAGCTATTCGTTTGATCATTATTCTGATTATTGTTTGGACAATTATACCCATTCATATGGTAATTTTTTTCAATAATACATCAGGTCGATGTATAGCCACGCCTGGTGTCTATGCTTTGTTTTATGCTATCTATTCACTGTTTATTATTGGCATCATACCTCTTTTATTGATGATTGTATTCAGTATGAGGGCTTGGCATAATTTACGTTTGGCTCGTACTCGCATAGCACAAGCTGGCACTAACAACGTAAAAATTGCTAAACGTGATCGAGATTTAATGAAAATGTTAAGTGGTGAAGTGTTTGTCTATTGTTTAACTACCATTCCATATCCAATCAATTTAATTTATAGTGTTTCAACGAACTCTATTGCTGCCTTCAAAAGTCCAGAACGAAAGGCAATTGAATCTTTAGTTGGATATATTGTAAGCCCATTATTGAACTTTATGTACTGTTGTGCCCAGTTCTATGGTAAAACAGAAATTTGATGTAATTCCATGGTACATGATTTTTCTTTTTTTAGTTTATGCAACGTGTTCACGAAAATTTCGAAAAGACTTCCTGTCCTTATTTCGCCAACAACCACAAGAAATAAATCAAAGTGTTCAAAACACTTTACCAACGACACGAAATTGACATCTGAAAAGACAGAAAAACAAATTCATTTGATTTACAAATAAAACCAAATATTAGAATCGATGATGACAAGATCAAGAAAAAGCCATTGCTAGAGCATCAGAAACCTTCAAGACAGAGGTCTAATAGCCCACCAGTTGTAGAACATAGTCAAACTTGCACAAGAATTTATAGGTCTCTCTATCAACTCTCCTCTGGTTAGGTTCGACTTTATATCATTGGTCAGATAATTTGTGAAAATAACCAGGCAAAGACATATGAGCAGGAATAAATCGAATATATTTAGATAATCGACCAAACATTGAAATCAGTGAGGTTTTGACCAGACTATCACTCCTAAATATTATTGTCTCTGTAATCAGATGTACAATGGTAGTTGAATGAACCAGTGTTTTCTAAGTGTATTTACTTGCTATCACTTGATAGTGAAAGTACAGACGTGGTTGTAGGTAGGTAAGGGATGCGGCTGTGTGTATGTGTGGGCGAGGGTGTGATATGAGTATATTTCTTTTCTTCGTCCACATCCATATCTTTAGGTAAGATTGTATTATGACTGAACAGATGAAATATTTAGTTTAGTCGGCTACGAAGAATATAAAGAAGGAAAAATTAGAGAAGATATATTTATTTTCATCGATTGATTATTTGAGTGTTTCATTGCAAAAAGCGTGACAAAACATTGGAAAGAGGAATCTTCTTGTTTTACAAAGATAATTATCCATTTTGGTATAGCGGGTTACATATCTGAGTTTTTCACATTAGTCTATGCAATAGCCATTCCAAATAAAAATTGACCAGTAGCTAGAAAATAAGAGGATCTTGTTTGTATCAATTACTGTTTTATTTCTCCTGGGTTAATCTAAAAACCAAATTGGTGGTCGATTACTTTTCCATTACTTACAAGTCAGCTTTTATTTGCACATTCCTACAAGGACAATGATATATTTCAATTTGGGTGTGGGTGTAGGTTTTCGCGTGGAAAAGATACACAACCGTATCCACACTCATACCTATGTCGATAGCCACACCCAAATATATTATGAAATATAGCTGCAATTATCCGACGGTTTTAGAACCGGTTTTAGCGATGTTAGAGCATTTCTAATTTTGGTGATTCTACAACGAAAAGTAGAAATTCTATTCATAAATTACTAAAGGCGTTCGAGGTTCTTCCACTAATAGACCGTAGGTAACAATATAGCACGTAGGTATTGATGTTTTTAGAGTGATAGTCAATGTACATCATATTGTCATTTTCATTATTCAAAAATGTATAGAATTCCGATTCAAGTAATGCAAATGAGTTTTCACGTTACAAATGTAATATTATCGAATGAATACTTTTACATCATCAAATTTGTTAGCTCTCTAGTTAAAATGGGGACTATCTATCGAGCTAAACTATGTAACATATAAATCTGAAGCTTACATACAATATATGAATATGTAGCTGTTGATGTATATATGTTGATGATATGCTAAATAAATATATTTGTCAGAATAACAACAAAAACAACGAAGAGAGAACCAAAGAACAAAACGAACACAATGTATATATATGTCATTGAGAACATCAATCACATGACCTTAATATGTATTGGTCATCTAACAAATGACGCAATACGACTAACATAATGGTTTAGCGTCAGCCAGTGACATCTGCTGAGGCTAACACCTCCCCCTCTCGAGAATATCAATCATAATGAATGGCTGTCTTATCAATCAGATGGACAGCAAACACAATCATGAGTCACATCACGAGTAGAAGGAAAAATACGTCATAGAAACATATCAACAGAAGAAGAAAAATGAAAACGTGAAACAAAAAAAAACAAAACAAAACAAGATGTTAACGCATAGAAAAAAATCAACGATGTTCATGATTTTTATCAACTAAACATCGATGTACGTGTAAAGAATTAATATAATTTAGAAGAGTATGAGTAAAATAATGATGATTTCTATATGCGACATGCATCATATCCTTTCCTAACCAATAACTTGGTACTTGAAGGTCAAAATAAAGAAAATTGTATTGATTAGAAAGTGTAAATAATAAGTGATTATAATAATCAATATTATTCATTAACGATGCTATAGTAGAAAATCGTTTCGAAATTTTGAAGCAAGGAATACATGAAGTAATAATTATTTTTCGGTTTCTTAACTGAGGATACTGAAAATAAAGAAAATTAATAATATGATCAATTTGATCAATAATTTCCGTTGCAGGAAAATTTCGAACTGAATTTGTTCCAATAAGGAATAAGACATAGGATGTTGAGTGTAATAAAGAAACAAATGGTTCGTTTTGTATCAGAGAAAAAAGACATAATTTAGAATCATAATTGTGAATCCATTGAAGACAAGAAAATGAATAATTTTCGATGCGATAATTGGATGTAATGTTGATAGAACTTAAACATTTACCATGACTATCGGAAATTATTAAAAATGGTTCAACGTGAGATGATGAAAAGAACATTATAAGAAAATAATAGAGTAATATATTGAATCGTATAATGTAAATTGTTGAATGTGTGTGATGGATGTTTATTTTGCAGATTAGAAAAAAAGAAAAAAAAGAAAAAATGAAGAATGATAGTGAATAAGGTGAATTTTACATTAATCTATGTAGATAATAAATAGAAATTAGATCTTAACATAACTAAAGATTGTATTTTAGTTTCACAATACCAATCATCCGTTATTATTTTACAGTCTCAAGATGTTAATCGACTATGTTCCTACGGCGCCTTAGGAGCATATAAATTCAATAATAGAGAGTTAATGCAACTGTACTAACTTTTTCACTTCAGTCGGTAGAATTATCATTAATACGTATTATATCCATAACCAAAAAAAAACTGTTTTTTATAACAACAAATGATAAGATCAAGAAACAAATTAGATATGATTTATACAATATATCTAAGAATCAATGGTATTATTATAGATAATATTATTTGACATGTAAGTAAAATTCAAATGTTCACTTAGAAAGAAGTGGTCGAAGGTCACTTATGTGTACCTGTGATCTTACATGTGTACGTTCGTCCTCTACTATATAAATTGGATGATAAACTTCAACAACAACTTTAGGAATAGGTGAAAATGTTGGTTCTAATTTTGCTTTTAAACCAACCATACGTGTTAATACTTTTTGCCCAACTGTTAATTGAGGATTGAGACGATTTTTGTTATAGAAAGTCCTAGTAACTTGTTGTTGCAGCAAAATATTATCTCTAGATGCCTCGTGGAATATTTGCAAGGTTTTCTTTAGTTGTTCGAAATAGTCGTTAGGTTTAAGAAATGTAAAATGTTTAGGTGGTACATGTATTGGCAAACGAGCAGAACGACCGTATAAAAGTTCAAAGGGAGAAAACTTTGTAGATTTATGTATTCCTGTATTATAGGCAAATACAACTGCTGGAAGAAATTCATTCCAATTGTTATGTTGAGCATTTTGTAACTTTGAAATCTGAGTTACAAAAGTAGCATTAAAGCGTTCAACAACGCCGTTCGTTTGGGAATGATAGCACGTGCTATAGACGTGATTATATCCTATGAGTTTCTGTAAATTTTCCATCAATTTATTTTGAAAATGTTTTCCTTGATCACTTAAAATGACAGAGGGTATACCGAATCTACAAAAAAACTCCTCGAATAAAGCACGTGCTGCACTTTCTGCGGTGCAATTTGGTAATGCTATCGCGGTTATATATCTCGTAAAATAATCCGTGATTACCAGCACATATTGGTTCTCAAGAGGGGTCCTTGGCAAAGGACTGCAAAAATCGATACCTATTAAAACAAATGGTCCTTCAGGTGGTGATATAGAACGCAGGTGCCCATATTTCTTATTACGACTTAAATTAAATTGTGTACATAAACTACAAGCTTTTACATAGTGTTGAATAGTAGACTTCATTCGCGGCCACCAGAAATGAGGACGAATTTTATAATACATTCGATCTGTAGCAAAATGTGCACCGATCATCGGATCATCATGAGACGCTCGCAACAAGGAATTTATCATTGAGGAAGGTAAATAAATAACTTCGACTACTTTAGTAGGATGCTTATTCAAGGTAATGAATTTGTACACTACGTGATTCTTTATTATGAATGAAGACGTATTAGATTTTAAGTGCAAATTCCGAACTATCTTTTGTATCTGAGGATCTCGTTCTTGTTCAATTTGCAACTTAGCTGTATCAAAATAATTATATGAAATATTTGGTGTTACTTTTCTCTTTTTCGCATTTTTATTATGAGATACAGTATCGAATTCTTGACGACTATCAGTATGATTTTCAATAGCTTCATTATCATTTATAGACTTAGTTTGATGTTTGCGTGGACGTAAGGTCATAGCAGCTAAAACATTTTGCTGATTAGAAATTTCTGTTTTATTTTTGCTAGCTAATCCATATTCAGCATTAAATAGGTCGTCATCTTGCTCCTTAGAATAACGTGAAAGATAATCAGGTAGACAATTGTAACGACCTCGAATATGTACTATTTTATCGATATTGTATTCTTGAATCAGATGCGTTATTCTATTTACTCTTGCATTTTTTATAGATTTGTGCATGATGTAACATAGTGGACAATGGTCTGTCATGATGACTATATTACGTCCTAAGACAAAAGATCGCATACGTTCTAAACACTTGTAAATAGCTAACGCCTCTTTCTCAATTGCGCTATACTTTTTTTCACAGGTCGTCATAAGTTGAGAATGGTAATAGAGATTATGTATATTACCATTCAATTCCTGTTGTAATACGCCACCTATTTGTATATCACTAGCATCCGTAGTTAAAATAAGAGGTACATCATCTACAGGATAATGTAAAAATAAAGGTTCAGTAATTAACATCTGTTTCAGCTGTCGAAAAGCTTCGGACTGAGAGATTTCCCATTTGAACTTTTTTCGATTAGGTTTCGTAAGGTTTGTAACAGCATGTATTGATGCCGCTACATCAGCAAATTTTGGTAAGAATTTCCTATACCGCCCTAGAGCTCCTAAGAAACGATTAGCTTGAGCTAAAGTACGCGGTTCTTGTATTCTTAATATGGCGTCTATTTTCTCTTTCATGGGCTTAATGCCATTATTACTAATACTGTGACCAAGATAGTCAATCTGAGAAACAGCTATTTCACATTTTGGCGGATTCAAAACGAAATTTTTTGCTTGTAACGCTAAAAACACTTGGTGTAAGTGATTTAGATGATCAGAAAAAGATCTCGAGAATACTATTATGTCGTCCAAATAAGCAAGAGAAAATTGGCGACATGACTTTAATGTATCTGTCATAACTTTTTGGAATGTCGGAGGGGAATTACGTAATCCCATAGGAAGGACATTGAACTGGTAAAGACCAAATGGGGTCACGAAAGCTGTTTTTTCTTTATCCTTATCATTTATTGGTATTTGATAAAAATCTGATTTGAGATCAAGTTTAGAAAAATAGCTAAAACCTTTTCCTAAATTTTGTATAGTATCTTCCATATTTGGAAGTGGAGAAGAATCTTTAATGGTTATAGCATTCAATCGTTTATAATCAACTACAAAACGATATGATTGATCTTTTTTCTTGACAAGAATCGGTGGAGCAGCGTAAGGGAAATTTGACTCTGAAATAAGATCCGCTTCTAAAAATTCTTGAATAAGTTTATACATAGCCTCTTCTTTATCCGGTTGCGGATACGGTCTCCTAGCAGGAGGCGAATGAGGAATGGTAATAATAACATGTGGTATAAGAGTTCGAGCAATATTATGTCGTGTTATATCAAAAATATCATAGAAACGCATTAATAACGATAAAAGATCTCGTTTTTGTTTATCATTCTGAATATTATGAACAAGTGAAGTCAAATACGTTCTGATAGTAGAATCAATTAATTTTGTTGAGGTTGATGTGTCATTTCGATAAGAACGAGTAAAATGACTACAGTTATCAATATTTTTATGAGTTAAAGTACATAAATGAGAACTAGAATTATCAACGGTTGTGAAATGATTAGGTGCTGGAGACATACCAGCATATCTAGTAGCTCCAAATGATTTATAGTACGACGAATGAAAAGTACGAGGATGTTGAAACATAGAACAACATAATAAATGTCCTACACGCGTACCTTGTCTTATGACTTTTGGCTTCAACGTATTATTAAATAATACAATATCGGTATGATAATTTCGAAAATAAAGATTTCTATCTTTATTATCAATAAATACGTGTCGTTTAAAAGAAGAAAGTGGAATAAACGGTAAAGAAATAGATGAAATAGGAATTGAAACTGATAATTTTCGTGTAGAATAAGGAGAAAGGAATATAGTGTTAGAAGCAATAACAGGAACTTTAATAGATTTGATTACATTATCAATCGGAACTACACTGTAAAAAAAAAGGGCAGAATAATGAACGCTTGCCCTTGATTTTTTTTTTCTATAAACCCTTGAAGGGTTTATGCGCACGCCATATACCCTATGAAGGATACATGAGCCGAAGAGTTTGTGATCGTAAAGGTATATGAATATAAAAAGGGTATATGAAGCTGTTTTAAGGGTTTTGTATTTTATAATTTTATTCAAAGTGTTTATTAATAAANGAATGTTGACGCGATGTAGTAGATATATTTTTTATTATCTTATGTGTCTTAGGATCTCGATCTTGTTCAACTTGTAACTTAGTTGTATCGAAAAAGTTTTGTGAAAGTTTAGATGTTAGTTTGGTTTTCCTTTTGTGTCTAGAATCCGATACACCTATATAGTCATGATGACTATTCACGTCATTTCCATCAGAAATATGTTCTTCTGTATAATCAACTCGATTTTTACGTGGTCTTACAGTCATGATTGCTAAAACATTCGGATTAGTAGAAGAAACTGATGAATCTGATGTTAAATTCTTAGTATCAGTATTAGATGTTGCTGATGATAAGATCGAATGAGATTTACTAGCTAAGCCATATTCAATATCGAATATATCATCAAATGGTTCTTTTGAGTAACGTGAGAGATAATCAGGTAGACAATCGTACTGATAGCGAATATGAACGACTTTATCGATATTATATTCTTGGATCAAGTGCGTGATTCGATTCACCCTATTATTCTTAATAGACTTTTGCATTATATAACATAAGGGACAATGATCAGTTATAATGATAATATTTCTCCCTAATACAAAAGAACGCATACGATCTAAACACTTATAGATAGCTAGGGCTTCTTTCTCCATGGTACTATATTTTCGTTGACATGATGTAATAACTTGAGAATGATAGTATAGATTACGGAGTTGTCCATTGACTTCTTGCTGTAAAACGCCACCTATTCCGATATCACTAGCATGTGTAGTTAATACGACAGGTAAATCATCTACAGAAAAATGTAGAAATAAAGGTTCGGTGGTAAGCATCTCTTTAAGTTGGTGAAAGGCTTTTGATTGAGCAGTTTGCCACTTGAACTTTCGTCAGTTAGGCCTCGTAAGATTGGTAACAGTATGTATTGGTGCTGCTACTTCTGCAAATTTTGGTAGAAATTTTCTATACCATCCTAAAGATCCTAGAAAACGATTCGCTTGAGCTAAAGTATGCGGTTCCTGTATTCGCAAAATAGCTTCTATCTTATCTTTCATTGGTTTGATAGAATTCTTATAGATAGTATGACCTAAGTAATTAATTTGTTGAACGGCTAATTCACATTTAGGTGGATTTAATATTAGATTTTTCTGTTGCAAAGCTGAAAGGACGGATTGAAGATGATCCAAATGATCAGAAAAAGATTTGGAAAAGACAATAATATCATCTAAGTAAACGAGAGAAAACTGACGACACGATTTCAAATTCTCTGTCATAACTTTTTGAAAAGTAGGAGGAGAGTTTTGTAATCCCATCGGTAGTACATTAAACTGATATAAGCCGAATGGGGTTATAAAAGCCTTTCACCAACTTAAAGAGGTGCTTACCACCGAACCTTTATT